TCGAGCCAGTAGAAAAAGTTCTCCGTCGTGTCGGACTTTTTCCATTCCTCGTGGTACACGCGCAAGTTGCTGCCGTAGCGATGCTTGAGGTCAACCATCTCTAAGAAATACTGCAACCCCATCATCTTGGAATCCTTCTTCCGCCTCGCTACGGCCTCCTCGCGCTTCTTCTTTTTCTCGGCCCTCTTCTCAGGCGTATCTGATTCAGACGAGGACGCAGAGGAGTCTGAGTCGGACTCGACATCATCGTGCCCCGCGCGCCGCGCAATCGTCGCCGCCTTCCTCCAATTCTCACGAGCTGTTGACGGACGACTCATGCCGCCCTCCTCGTCTCTCGAAAGCACGCTGTGTCTGTCGCCGGTGGGAGACAAAGCAGCAGCGCCGACGGAGCTCTTTGCGCGCGGCCGGTTCAGCTCGCGGAACTGCAGCTCGTCAATGGCCGAGACCCATCTCGTCGATGCGTTCAGCCCCATGCCCTGCATCTCCCTTCGCACACGATAACCCCGGTAGTTGCGCTGGATCAGCGCCGCGGCTCTGTTGATCGCCTCGCTGTCGCCCTGATCACCCTCTTTGGCTGAAGCTGGCGGTGGATCTTGCGACATTATTTGCGCTTCGTCGGAAATGTCCCCGGCAGCGTCACCTTGTCCGTCCTGTGAGCGCCGGACGTTGTGAAAGTGGTCGTGGAGGTGTTGTGTCTGGCGCTTCGACTTATTCCTCTTTAGCTCCTCCTCGCGCGTGCGCTGTACCTCTGCAATCTTTTCAAATTGATCTTGGGACGGCGGGACCAAACTGTCCATGTACTCCTGGCGAGAACTGTAGTTTGTGCTCGTCTGCGACTGCGCCAATGAGCATGTGTCGTCACTAGGGGGGGCCGTTGCAGAATCAGCCGTGTGAGTGGTGGCTGCCGTGGTGGCGGTTGTATCTGTAGTGGTAGTCGCAGTAGCAGCAGGGGAAAATATGGAGTGGGATTCGTCTTGTTCGTCGACAGGTCTTGGCACGGGGGGACTGGCCGGCGGGGTAATAACGGCGGCGGCGGCACCGTTAAAAGGAGCATCCTTTTGGTGAAGAAGAGGGGTCTTTTGGGGTGGTGGTGGTGCAGACGCAGACGTAGGCGCAGACGAGGCAGAGGCGTCGCTCGGAGACACGGCACCGCCACCAGAAGCAAGTTGCTGGGCTGGAACTGGTATAGAGTCGAGCTCGTGGGCGGGTTTCGTCATGGCGGTTGGTGGAATGGCGGGGTCCGCCCGGTCGTGACGAAAGAGTAGGGATAGAGATCTGATCCGAGAGCCGGTTGGCGCAGGCATCAGGCCTATTTCTATGTGTCGCTTTATGTATGTGTGTGTGTGGATTAGGTGAGTTGCGTTCGGTGGTCTGTTTCGTTTCGAACTATGACTTTCTTGCTGCTGGCTGGGTTTGGAGCTTGTGTTGGTTCCAAGGTTGGTGTTTCTTCGGAGACAGCAACAGCGACGTCACTTTCCTTGATAGCTGTTTGAGGTAGTCACTCGCAAGGTTGAGGGTGGAACGGAGTCAGCAGCTTGAGCGTGTAATAAAGCGCAGGAGCCATAAGATGGAGCGGAGATGGGGTTGAAGTAAGCATATAATGATTACTATCCGTACGGCTGTAAGAACATGGACGTCAAGGTACTTGAGTAAGGTAAAGCAGAACGGGAAATTTGTGCGGTCTCAAATTGGAAGAGAAGGAGAAGGAGGGAAAGCAAAAAGCAGTGTAAAGAATGCGCCCAGGAGGAGTGACCGATCGAGAATATATTGCATTCGTGGGGCGCTCTCAGATCCTCGCCGGTGGCATGGGATTAAATCTCGGCGACGCCTGAATGACAAGACAATGAACAGAGTCTAGTGTACTAGAAGGAGGAAAAAAACACTACGCAAAAAAAACAAACACTTGCCCGCCTTGCATCATGAGGTACCACGGGGGACACCCTTGCCGGTGGGGTGGAAGAGTAAGGCTTAGGGGCGACGGCAGTGCCAAGTTGCCAACTGTTTCTGGACAGCATAAAAGCAGAAAACTCAGTGATCAAGTCTGCTCAGCCGACTATCGCTGGCGTGTGTACCACACCGCGGGCTGTGACGCACGATGGACTGTTCTGCTCGGAATCGCGGATGGGGGCCGTCGGCACGCGGCCGTCTGTCTATGCGCCTATCACCGGTGCCCTTCGCAGTCCGCAGAACCTCCCGAATAGGTGGTGACCTCCAGCAGCGTAACACCAACTGCCACTTTGAGGGACCTGGAACTAGCGGATATCGTAACGACCATCCGCAAATAGCAAATCTATCCAAAGTTCCCTGTGTCTATAGACGACCGGACGCTAGGCTTAGTTTTTTCCTACCGCCGTCTTTACGAAGAGAAACGGGGCTGAGTTAGGCTTTCTTGTGTCTCGATCTTGTTCAATTTGCAAGGAAAGATCTTTGGACCCCAAAAGACCCTTGACCATTCTCACGTTTTCAACTGCCAGTCAGCAGTGACGCTCCCCAGCCCTGTACATCCTGCTGAACATTACGCGTCAATCTGTGGGGGAGCCCCCTCAAAAGCCCAACCAGCGTGGCCCGACTCACGCCGGCGGGAACAGCACATCGCCACGGACCATGTCCGGCGGCGCATCTTTACGTCGTGCCTTTTTCTGGCATCTCCACTGTACCCCACGCGGCCGCGGCCGCCGAGACTTTTCCGGCAACGGGCTTGGCGGCCACCGTTCTGATGAATTTAGTGTCACCAGCTGTCACTAATCTCTCGGTATGGGTAGATATTTCGACAACGCCCGTCCAAGAAAGATGGTTCATAGCGCAAAACATTATCATTATTGATGTTTTTGCATGGTCCAACCGGTTTGAAACCGCTATGTACGTGCAGATGGCCATCATTCTTTTGCCCGTTCGACGTCCGCGCGAGGAAGACGCCCAAAATACCTAGCCGTGTCCAGCTCTGCCAATATATCCCCAAGAAAGATGTACAAGAAGGTGAAGTAAGTTGATTTCGGTATTCGGACACTATCATTACGAGAAGAGAAACTCCTTGAGTACTGGCGACCCAGAAAACTCGGGATTCAACATTATACAACTGTGAATCGTTAGCAACCATCCGAAAGGCATCTACTGCACATGCATTTGCAGACGCACTTGAGAAAATATTGTAGCCCTGCCCTCCTCTTATCGAGGAAACGGGGCCGGAATTTGGATATCACACTCTTGGGTGGTAGAGGTGGTACTGCTGCTTCGAAATCGGGGAACGTCTTGACCAGCTTTTCGCGAAGGTCGTCGAACTCGGAGTATCGCTTTCGGATGTTCATATAGCTCCCCTGCACGCGTCTTGTCAGCAACTGCGCTCGTAACCTCAATTGTGCTCTTTAGGCCTTTATTCTTCGAGCCAGGGATATCACTGACTTGCAATGTCTCGACTCTTATGTTCCAAACAACAAATGCCCCGATGTTGGTTGCGCTGCCGTTCACCACGACGTAGTCGGTAATCTCGACACTCTTTGCCCAGCAGGCTCGATTTCGACCGTTGACGTCGCTCGCTTCGTTATCGTGCATTGTAATCGCGCCGGCGGGTAGTACTGATTCGACCGACATATTGGAAATCGAGCGCTGGTGGTGGCCGAGCCAATACGGAGGCGACGTCACTGACGACGGACTTGTCACGGACGACTCGGTTGGCGACTCTGTCTCTTCCTCTTCATCCTCCTCATCACCAAACAGTCCACCCCGTGTGTCATTATTGTTTTGACGCGAAAGTAACCCTCGAATGGCTCCGTCCGTAGCGACCTTGTGTGAAGGTCTAATATGGCCGTTTGTGCCGCCGTTAAGACCGCCGTTCGGTCGGAACTGGGATTCTATCGCCGAGTCCATGAATCCATGTGTGAGGATGGTACCTCATGGACAGCCGTGATGTTGTGTTATGTTGAAGATGCGATGTGCTCGAGGGCAGCGAAAGTGCAAGGCGATTGTGACGTATTGGCCGTATGACGATATCAAGAGTCTTAGGTAGCTTGACGAAAGACCTGTCCCGGGGCGCTTGCTGGACGCCGTTCTCTTTGGGTGGTGCCGCGTGGCTGTGCAAATCGACCAAGAGTGGAATGGCGGCCACTTTGGCTACTAAGCGGGCAGAGGATGTAATGTTGACTGTATGGTTTGTTACCGGTGATGCTACCTTGGGGCGGGGATTAGTCGGCCCGTGAGATGTAACGGGTCTGCGAATGACATCTGAGGGGTGAGTTTGGCAAAGAGAGCACAATGAGGAACGACTAATGCGACAATTAGCGCAGCTTCGTCGCTGGAAGAAATCGATTCGAGTCCAGGACAGTTGAGAGTACTCTTTAGACGAGACGGAGTAAATGTTTACAAAATAATTTCCTGCAGCTTCCCGGGTGAGATCCATGCGGATAAAGCATGACGATAAGAAAAGCTCCTACCACCAACCCTAGTATTCGTACCTTCCTGCGGCTCGTTCTTCCCCTCACATCTGCTGGTTCGTGCCAGAAAGGAAGGACCCTTCTGAGACGGTGACTTCTGTTTGGCTAATGAACAACGGTAGCTTCCTTCCTAAAAAAACAAAAAAAAAACTTGCCTGCGAAATCGGGAATAGAGGAAGGTCCGGATACAGCGAAACTCGAATGAAAATAAAGTGCCACTGCCATTAGACGAGAGTTGACCACATCATTCGTACAGGTATTCGCAATTTTTCTTCGCCAACCTTGGATAAGGTACGAGGCGATTGCAAAACTGTCATCTTCTACGCGGGAAACTGCTGCACCTTGCACAGCTGTTTTGCAACTTCTTGAGAGCTCATGCATCCTACAAGTTCTTGATGCCTGCCCCCCACACATCTACGACCGACTCTCGGACTTTGACAACATTCGCCTCAGGATCTTGACAAGGTGATGTTGATGTCTTATACCTAAGCTATCACACCAAGAAGAAAACCGGCTGAGGCGCTTAGGATGAGATCTCCGTGTACACAGCATCGGGCACAGAAGACATTGGCCATGATCGCGTCTGGTGCGACAGTAGTAGGCCCCTCCCGCGCTATCAACACGTACACTACTGTTACACGCAGCACACTCCCGAATCCAAACACATCGGTGCGGATACGAAGCAGCAGAAACCAAGCCGCGGTGGAGTTGGAGGGTTGACACCCACGACACCCTCTCGACTAGCGCATCTTGTCGAGCAGGGGGTTAAGTATTCGGCTTCCATTTCGATTCTACGTCGTCTACCCCAGTATGTCCCTGTTGGCGGCTGGTAAGCCTCTCGGTACTTGCAGAGTGCATTGTAACGACATCACGGTAAGACCTAAGACCTCTGGTTTCGAAAACCCAACCCGACATACAAGTAACATCCGCAAAGGCTCATAGCCGCCAACGCCCTGCCAAGTTGACTGGTTCAGTTGTGGCGGTCAGTTTGCCATTCTTGACATCTACCACGGGCAGCCCAATGGCACTTCGAAATTCGAAGGGCATTTTTGCCATCAACGGTGTGGTGTCAGCGCTCTGCTACGACCTGTCTACAAATAACAGAGAGAGGCATCGATGCGGAGACGTTGGGGCGCTTGGGATCGTCGCCCCGGAGGAAGGGGTCTCGGAGGCAACAGACAAGATCCGGGCGGAGCCAACCACCTCAATATCCAAGTTGAACCTCTGGAGTCAGCGAGTCATTGCCAGCCCTTCCGATTTCATTGTGGTGGAAAAAGATGAACTTCCAAACAGTCGACGTCCACCGAGCTGCTCTAGACGGCACGACCATACATACTAGCTGCATCGGCTGTCCTGCACAGGACAAGACTGCAGAATACGAGTGGCGATCAGCCAGTGGGACGCCGGGAACAGCGATAGCTGTGCTTCTTACGGGTACTCCCTACACATTATGGAACCCAGCAAGTGGTGTCAAGTCCCTCACAAAAGAGGAAAATGCTGGCGGTTGGGAGAAACCCACAGACTCACCCAGACGCTTCCCGTCAGGCCGATAGGTATAACTTTTTCACTCCTGAGTCTTGTCTCGCTACGCAGAAAGTGCATGTTGCAGATGGTGGCCTCGTAAAGTTGTGCTAACAGGGAGCCAAGGGGAGGATTAAGAGGGGCTGGCTCTGTTTGGCGGCGAAGTTTACTGCACAACAAGGTGGTCTTGGCTCCATAACTTTCACGCCGCATTTTATGGAGAGCGTCGAGACAGTTCCAGTGTTCTGCAACCTCGTAATCAACAATGGGTCTGGTCATCCGACCTGCAAAGTCGCACTTAAGTGGGAATTCGACTGGTTTGTTCTCGAATACGGAGGGATACGGTCTCGAGTCTCGATTCTCGATTACTCCGTGTGTCCGTATCTACGAATAGGCGCCACAGCTTCGAAGGAATAGCCGGCAGGCAGAATAGACACGGATTCGTCGTCGTCGTCAGTATGTCTGGCATATCGTGGGGATACGAACGAGCACAGGAATGTCTAGCTGACGCCGCTGACTGGATGAAATGCCTACCTAAGCACGGGGCAGCTTCCACAAGACCAGTAGAGGTCGGGGCTGGAATTGAGCCAGGCAAGCCTTAGAGGAGGATTGCCGTGGGATCAGCAAAGATATGGCGAATGGCGAAGGGCGGACAGGCCGGGCCTTCCAATCTCAAACGGGTCCGGGGCTGCAAATTAACGAGCCAAAAGTCGATAGAAGCCGTCACCGCAACCTCGGCAATGCTGCAAAGGCCTGCCTCTTGACACCTTGACTATTCTCTGCCATGTCTGCTGACTCTTAAGACCGGCATTTGAGGATATGCTGTGGGTACAGAGGCACAGAGAATACAGAGTATCGGATGGAATAATCAGATCGCTCGTTTCTTGCGGCAACGACGAGAGAAGGGCTCTGGAGTTTGAAGTCTGTATGGGTTTTCAGTGGGCTCGCGCGGTGCAAAGTTGCAGTTTGTGAGTTTGTGGAGAGGAGATTCATCTCCGGGCAACAATGGACACCCGATCTCGTTAGCGGCACAAGTAAGGAGACGCTAACAATCGTTTTAGTGCCATCGGTGCTGCAGACAAAGTGCAGACTGCAGTGTTGCAGCGCCGGCGACGCAAAAAGCCAATTGCCCCAGGCCATGGAATGAATCCATGGATCCCTGCAGAGAGCGGCATGCTCCCACTGAACCCTTCCTCTGCTAAGCCTCAATATCCACCGAATAGAAACACAAGACCAAGACAGACCACGGGAGAGAGAGCCGCTACGAGAGCCACCCTCGAAGAAGCATTCACACACCAACCCGACCTTGCCATGGCCTGCCAATCCTGCTTTGCCCAATATCAAGAGTCTACGGAGTGCAGATAGAGGGCTTCTCTGACTTGCCTAATTTTGAGGAAGAGGCACCCTAGGGCTCCAGAGACACAACCACAAACAACCATGCCTCCCTACCATTCAAGCGGGTCAATGGCAAGGGCGGCAAGAGACAGACATGCCAGGCAGGTTGCGGGCTGGGTTCCCCTCACGTTATCAATATCCGCCCATCAGCAACCTGTGATTTTCGGTCAGACAAAAGTGGTGACTCTTCGTTCTGGAGATGGTGGCCTGTGGAGAGGCGCGCTGCCCTCGACGTCGAACGCCTCGTACCATAGTGTACAGATGCATTACAGGTGCATGGTGGGAAAAGACATTGAGAAGTGAGAAAAAATAAAAAAGTCAATGATTCTCCATCCGATCCCTAAGAGCAGGGGACGGGTTCATCCTGTGATTGGGCATCAGGGGCGGGGGGGGGGGGTGATGGGATGCCGATGAACAGACCCCAAACGAACCCTGGCCAATTCTTAGCTCCTTTTCTCGACCCTGGGACCTTTTCTCGAGAAACGGTATCTGTACATACGTACGGAGTACGGAGCACCACACCATCACGACCGCACAACCACCAGCAGGAAATACGCCGGGTGGCTGGCGTGGAGAACGTGCTAAACCCAATTCTGCCTGTTTTTCTCCTCGGTCCTCTTCGACAATCAATCGGCTCCTCTCTATAGACTCCCATGCAAATGCCTGCCTGTGGATTGTCGCAAGAGAGGTCCCTTGGTGTTGTACCTGGGACCCCGGGCCTCCTTTATTTTGTGCCGTACGGAATACCACGGATACTTCAATGTGGATTTGCGAATAGAAGCTTCCCGACAAGGCCCTGGTCCGAACGAGCAGACTACCACCTCGAATATGTGCTAGTCAACCTTAGTGCCCGCTTGGCAAAAGTCGTGCGTCCGGCTTGTCTGCTCCTTCTCACCTTCCTCCCCACGGCTCTGTGCCCCGGGGCTTTTTTGAATATGAACCGTCAACTTCTCTGACGAGACCCATTCCGCTTCCCATCTCCTCTCTCCTCTCCCTTTTCCACCTTTCACCTCCCTCCTGAATCCCTCCGCGTGTGTCTGTATCGTCTTGTCTCGGTCTGTCGTTACACAGTTGAAGAACGTGTCTGCACATATATTTCACCCGAACCTCTTCATCCTCTCCCCCCAGACTCCTCACATCTCAGTCGCTCCAGCATAGCCAGTTGCCAACATTATACACACGGCACAAAACAAACCGATTTTCCAGCCTCACTATCGCTCCTAGTACCTTCTCGGCCAGACCAGTCCACTTTCGTCAGCAACGAAAGGGCTCCATTTTATTATTAGTGCGTAAGTCAAAACCGCCCATTCCTCAACGCCTCGTTCATAGCTCTGGCCTCCTTGGCCCGCCTGCCCGCCCCAATCACCCTAAATTGGGCCAAAAAGCCATGTGTTGTTGGCCCGAATAGGCGTTGGACATATCACCCCCTCCAGACCTTGGCCTGGCTTGGGGAGACTTTAGGAATGCAGCAAAAGGACCGCATAGGGACGAAAAGATGATGTCTATAAACATACACAAGGCGGGTTGCTGACCAGGAAACGCACTACAGTCGATATTAATATTTGAATCTTGTCAACTTTTCTTGAGAATCTTTCTCCCCTTCAACGACAACAACAACAACTTGCCCGTACATATACCCAAAAGGAATCCTTTTCGACACCGGTTCAGCATATACACATCTCCACAAATCACAATGCCTTCGTTCAAGAGCACCATCTTCGCCGTTGCCGCGGCCTTTGTCGCCACGGCCCAGGCTGATTACTACGTCGAGCCCTCATCCGTTCCTCTGGCCACAAGAAGTACGAATTTGTTCCTCCTCTTTTCCCTCCGGGAATACTTACCCGGTGGTTGGTGATTTGGCCAGTACGCTAACAGGAAACCTGCAGAGGCTTGGTGCGCCGACGAGAAGAACACATGCCCCATCATCTGCCAGCAGGTCGAGCCCCGGACGACCCTGGTGAACGACTGCGACCCTGTAAGTAACCAACGCCATCAACAGTAAAACATGGAGGAGCCAAGCTGACCTCTTTCCCCCCCACACAGGAAACCCTCACCTACGGCTGCATCTGCGGCGACAAGAACCAGCCCAACATGACCGAGTACTCCCTCACCCTGCCCTACCACGTCTGCCAGGAGTTCGGCAACCAGTGCGTCAAGGCCTGCGGCCTCGGCGCCAACCAGTGCGCGTCAAACTGCCGCCAGAACAACCCCTGCGGCGCCCAGAACCCCACCCGCCAGAACTCGACCTCCACCGCCGGCACGGCCACCGCCTCTGCGACAGCCTCCGAGACGAGCGGCGCCATCTACACCGGCCTCGGCGATTCCGGCTCCTCTTCCTCCGGCTCGTCGTCCGGCAGCGGCGCCGCGGCTCTGGAAATGGGTCGCAGCGCTGGCCTGGCTGTCCTCGTCGGTAGCTTGATCGGCGGCGCTGCTCTCCTGCTCTAAGTCAGCACGCTACCGAACTGCTTTGGGGGATGAAAGAAAACAATGAAGAGAAAAGAGATGGAAGAGGAAGAATGGTGGAGGAAGAAACGTTGTTTATTGCCGTGTGTTCTGTCACGTCCGCTCTTTTGAATACCCTCTTGCACAAAGTTTTTATCACATGCTCGGCGTTTATGGGCGAGGTGTTTTGAATCATGGGCCCTTGGATCAACCAAACAATAATGTCTTTTTAATACTTTCGGACAGAACACACACAAGCAATGGAGCGGGGATGATCTAGAGGTTGGGCAAATCTATCTTGAACGTTGTGCGTCATCTTTCGCGGGGAGCAGAGCAGTAGCAGAAGAAAGATTGAAAGAAAAAAGAATGGAATAAGAAGCGAAGAAGCAGTTGAGCTTCATGAACAAGAAAGCAGGTCCCCTCGTTCGTCTTGATATCTTGACTGTCATCCCATCATCCTCACTAGCTAGTGTTGCCTGGCGTCTCCGGTGTACCGGTGAACCGCCGATGAATACATCCGGTCTTATCTGATGGCTGAGCACGAGACCACCCGTCCCGTTCATCCCGTCTAAGGATCGTTCCCGTGATGTAGATTGTCCTAGATTGCAAGTAACATCAGATTAGTCTGCATAGACTACCATCGCTAGCAAGAGGCTCGGGATGGAGAACTGCGATGTGCGAGAGCCGTCATGTAGGCAACGTCGGAATATGCTGGCGTAACTGCATCGCGGGCACCAATGAGAGCCAGACAAACTTCAACACACACGTTCCGAAGACCTATGAGCGGGCAGGTGGGATTATCGACAAGCCAGACAAGTCAAATAGGTGACCAGTAAGGCGCCGTCCAGGACTCCAGCCGGCCTGTGCCACATGCATGTCTGATGCCGCCATACATATCGGAGCGGGGGTCACGGGGACCAGCATTCGGTATGGTCAGCGCGAGCCAGGCCGGCCCCGATCTCGACGGCTTCGATCTGGGGCTGAGCTACGGTGTGCCTAAGGCTGGTCGAGGGGAAGATGAGGCAGGGTTGCTCGCATGTCATCGTGCAGGAGTGTCGACCAGGCTTTTGCACAACTACGTAGCAAACCAACTGCCCAGTGAGATTCTTTGGGGGCCGACAACCAGACGATCTGGCACCAAACTCAGTGAACATCGGCCGGTGCAAGCTCATGTCCTGGCGGGGAAGACTTATGTGGAGGCAGGCAGGCGGGCTCGGTGTGTTAGTGAGCAGGGCCCGGTGCTACCTCGCCGATGTGCACCGTAACACTTACTGGGGCAGCTCCAGAATCCAGAGTCCAGACGGAATAAAGGTTGGCTCTCACATGCTAATTGCCGGTCAATGCGCGTATGATGTAGAGACTAAGGTAGGTAGAGAGGGTAGCATCGAGTCCTTGGGTTCCAAAGTCCAGCGGTGGAACAGTCAAGCTGCATCGGTTCGAGGTTTGGAGGCGGATTTAGGGCCGTCGGAGGAGCCCCCGGATGGTGAAATCAATGATATCGATCCAATGGTGTGCAAGGAAGGCGCGGTAAAAAGGCGGTAAACGCGAGGAGAATCCCTGCGTGAGCCGGCGTTGATTGGATGTTTCTGTCTCGGGGCCTTGAGGAGCGAAGAAACGGGTGAGGAGCTTGGGGCGTTTGGGAGCTGGTGTGTTTTAATAGGGTCCCTTTTGAGATTTTTGTTGAACGCCGAGATGTGCGGGGCCGTATGAGCGTAAATCGGCCGCAGTGGTTCGGTCGTTCGCAGTCCGTCAGACCTCCGATTTGTGCGTGTCGAGGATCAGATGGGCCCATGTGATTTCCTGCAGGGGAAATATTGCGAGAGGACGTGGATGTCTCGCAATTGGCTGTGCTATGGTTTCTGTTAATAATGTGGTTGTGGATTTGATGATGTAAGTGTCAAAGTGATGTAGTTGGCATTGAAAGCGGTGATGAACGATGATGGCAGAGGTGAAGTTGAATGCGTCTTGAGGTACGAGAATGGAAGGAGAAGACTGAGGAGGGAAATCACGAGCTTCCTTTCCCGGTGGACTTCATTCAACCTTGGTTGGTACGGAGTACTTGGGACTGGGATTTGGGGTACGTATCCGCCGACGTGCTTCTTCCTGCTGCGGCGGTGGGCTGGAGCCGCTGGATTGACGCACGTCGACGGCCGCGTACCTACGGCAAACTGAGCCTCCCTCCTTCCGCCCCTCGCCCCGGCCGCCCCAGGCCTCTGGACAAAGTTGAGGTGCATCTGATTTGTTCCCGAAAGAGAAGCTTGTGCCTGCGGTGCGTGCCATTTGCTGCTGGTCGCAACCGCAAATCCACTTCATCTGCCTGACCCCGGCCATTTTTTCACCCCTAATAAAAAAAAAAAAAGAATTAGAAAAAAGAGAGAGACAGACAGACAGACACCTAGACGGGAGCCAACGGCACGGCCTGCCTTATGATGCGAACTCAATAAGGTACTTCCTTACTTACCTTACCTACTTGCGCACCTTCGATCCCAAGTCTGCACTGCACATCAACTTGCGGTGGAAGCCGAGCAATCCTCTTGTGCCTCCCGTCCTTTTACCTTTGGCCCTCTGCTTAATACCTCCTCCATCCCCTCCTTTCCCCACGGCCGTTGTTACATCCCACTCTCCTGCCTCTGGCACTCTTCCTCAACCTTCCCCCTCCATCTCCTTCCCCCCGCCGCATTCTGAGATTCTACATCGATTTTGTGTCTCTGACGCAATTCTTCACAGCCATGGGCGCCGCAACTTCAGACAGTAAGCACGAACCCTCTTCCCCCAGAGACAGACCTCGCCATGCGCCAGGGTACCTGGATGGCCTCGGCGTCACCTTCAAAGTGCGCGCATACAATTGAGGGCGAGAGAGCTTGTCTGGGAGCTATGGTGGAACCTCAAACGTGGACGACAGCTAACAATTCATCCTACAGGAACGGCTGCCGCCGAATGCATCTCGGACGATGCCCTCATCCACCTCAAGTCCTACAAATACTCGGCCGTCGACAAGTCGCCCATCTCCAACTACATCCTCCGACCCTACGTGCGTAGCCTCTCCGACCATCTTTTCCCCTCCTACCCGCCGCTGCCCCGCGCCGTCCGAGCGGCCTCGACTTCAGCATTTCTCCAACATATTGCTAACCAAGCCTCATAGTGGAATGCTGCCGTTGAGCTTCTGCCGCTATGGCTGGCACCAAACATGGTCACTCTGCTGGGCTTCTTCATGATCCTCGGAAACATTGGCCTCTTGGTCATTTTTATGCCTGACTTGGTTGGACCGGTAAGCCAAGCTCGTGTTCCCCGCCAAAGCCAGGCGTGCGCAGGTCTGGACAATTCGGCTAATGTACGTGTCGACAGGGCCCTTCATGGCTATACTACAGCTTCGCTTTCGGTCTCTTCATGTACCAGACGATGGACAACCTCGATGGCAAGCAGGCGCGACGCACCGGAACCTCGAGCGGACTCGGCGAGCTCTTCGACCACGGGATTGACTCCCTAAACTGCACTCTGGCCAGTCTTCTCGAGACTGCTGCCATGGGCCTCGGCACTTCCAAGTCTGGAGTTTTTACGGCCCTTGTCCCGTGCCTGCCCATGTTCTTCTCGACTTGGGAGACATACCACACCCACACTCTCTACCTGGGCAGGATCAACGGTCCAACCGAAGGTATCCTGATCGCCTGCAGCGTCATGGTTGTCTCTGGAATCTACGGCCCTGGCATCTGGACCGAGCCCATCATCAATATCCTTGGCGACAAGGCCGAACAGCATCTCTATGGCTTCCACTACCTGCTGGGAGACTACTCGATTCGGGACATCTGGATTGCCATGATCGTCTTCTCGCTCTTCGCAACCCACATCCCCTTCTGCGTTCTCCACGTTATTCAGGCCCGTCGCTCGCGCGGTGAGCCCGTAGCCCCTGTCTTCCTCGAGTGGACGCCCATGACAGTGTACACCCTTGCTATTGGCGCCTGGGTCTACTCGCCGTACTCGGCCATCCGTAGCGATAACCACCTTGTTCTCTTCTGCGTCACCATGGCCTTCGTATTCGGCCGCTTGACTACGAAGATGATTCTCGCTCACCTCACGAAACAGCCTTTCCCTTACTGGACTGTCATGCTTGTGCCCCTTGTTGGTGGTGCCGCGCTTGCCAACCTTCCACGTCTGGGCCTCCCGGGCATCAGTGCTCAGACTGAGCTGTACTATCTGTACGGCTACTTCGTCTTCTCGGCCGTCGTCTACTTCCGCTGGGCCTACCTGGTCATTACGAGTATTTGCAATTTCCTTGGCATCAATGCTCTGACCATTCCCAAGGAGAAGCAGCTTGCGAACAAGCAAGCTATTGCTGCCGCCAAGGCACCGCCCCTGACCAACGGCCTGATGAACGGCATGAAGAAAGACTAAGCCAGGGTTCTTTCAGCAGCTCAACTTTGCGGGTCGTTTGGCTGGTCAAAGACTTTCACTACGACAATGAGCAAAGATGCCAGGGGTGAGAGACGAGGGTTAGAGTCGATGTTGAGATGGAGTGAAATGACGGATTTCGAGTAAATGAATTACAGCAAGCCTGAATGCGGCTTTGATGGAAAGTCGCGCTTTTTTTTGCATGGATGTCGGCGTTGCTGGAGGCTGATCCACTTTCAACATGGCATGCACTTATTATTGGCGCTTTTTGGGTGAGCAAAGCCATGGAAATTGGCATGGCTCGATTGAGTTATAGGCACTTTTCTAGTACAAGGACTCAAGCAGTCCGTTGCATAATATCAACTTCAAATCCAACTTCAACTTCATCATTATGGATTGATTTTCTTTTCGATGAGGTCACGATTAAAAGTGATTGTAGGGAGTCGAAGCCTTCCTGTGACGTGTGACTCTGATATATGCATGCCTGAGACGACTCACAGCTATATCTTGTGGTCAGGTGGAGGCTCTGGGCGGATTGTCTCTGGTATGGCATCAATAGAAATTGTAGTCTCATGATCAAAGTTAACTCAGACGACTTAGTCAAGGAAGCTAGGTCCAAGAAACAAAGACTACCTTATTGGCCACAGCCCTACCCGCTAGGGTATCTTGAATATGATTACATAGGGCTCTTAAAGACTTGTTCTTTGTCACAAGGACTTGCCCTCTTGGTTCGATCGATTATGCGGACGTATAGAGCGAATCACAGAGCATGCTAATGTGAGGCTTTTGGGGATTTGGCTTGAGAGATAAGCCTTCGGTAAGTGCCATCTTTTACCAAGTGTAAATTAACAACGGCTCCCATAGCGTTCACGCTTCCGTGGTAGTACGGTATTCAACTGTGAACACGTCCGCCACGGCCAACGACGAACGATGAGGCCCGTTCATGTCAATTCTTCTTTGTCATTATCGCTTTGGAGGGATCGCGGAAATGCTAGAGCGAGTGAGTCGGCAATAGGTCGAGATGGCCACTACCTTCACTGCAGCCTATTGACCACTTTCTACCATTGCAGTCTGGCAGGCTTCTGCTTCCGCCACAACAATGTGTTGATGCGGATATCTTTCCGGCACTGAGGATGCCATGGATAGTGTAGGGCATGAGGGAGGTGAGTAGTTTCATGACTGCATGTTTAGAAGGAGGGTTCGTAGGCACTATCTTGAGACATCAGACCGATGATAGACGCGATATCTTATTCCAGTGCGGTACTGTGGCAGCCTCAATGGAGCCAAGGCCGAACTAGGTGTTATCTCATGCTTGCTGAGTAGCAAACTTCAAGGTACTCATATCACTAATCGTTACGCTCTTTAAATAGTGCCGTATTAAGCTGCAAATACGTCTGTGGTATAGAGTCGTGAGCGTAAACGGTGGACTTCTGCGCTTCTACTGATCCCCATCAAGCGAACAACCGATGCCCTCGAGAATGCGGAAGTCGAAGAAGAGGTCAAAAACGATGACGGCGACTTTGCGCCTTGCGAGTAGCAGGCTGCCGAAGAGTCTGCTGTCGAAGATCCTCTCGCTGACAGGGTATGATTAAATTGGCTTTTTGAACACGGTCCACTGATGAATAACACTGGAACAGCTCGGGACATCACTTGCTTAACCTACTATAGCTCGCACTAGGCTCAACTTGCGTGACTAAGGGTTAGAATCTTTGGCGACCTGTGATATTTTACTAAAAGAGAGCGTGAGATGCATTTGATACTCTTTGGTGTTTCTATTTTTACTCGTTCAAGGAAAGGGATTCCGAATCTCCCTTATGGTTTGAGGGTTTTGTTGTAAAAGACCAGACCACCTCAGGTGAAAGAATTTCCCTAACCTGGGACTTGGAACAGCCCTTTGCCCTCGCTAAAGTTCCTACGTATATGATAAACTATTTAAAAAAGTAAGATTTAGAGTATCGCGACATTTTTGCAGATTTAAGAGGTCTGGGGAGGCCAGGGTCTTGCAGACATGTTCAAGGAATTGCCGTATATTCTCAACGCACTACTATGGTGCTCTGCGCGGTTACCAGATGCAGCTGCTCGGGTTGCAGTTTGCGAGCCGGTCCGCCTCGCCCACCACTTCAACCTAAAGCAGCAAGCCTAAGCCTGGATCAATTTGCCTACTTGTCTCAAAGTCCATTTCAGCTCGCTCGTAGCTCTCCCCAATCATTTCACTCAGCACAGAACTTGAAGCGGGCTGTGCCTGTGTCTCAGACATTGTCAGTTGCTGGCAATGTACCTAGGGAAGCGAGGGAGGTGAGTATTGGAAGATGGCCGCCTTTGGCCACCCGCACTCATGCTTGTGTCTTCTGTTTTCTATAAGTTCACGTTGCTGCAGCCTGCTTGCCCTTTTGAGTACCTTCAGACATTGAAACTGAAAGTAACCCAGTTCCTGCCATTGAATCATACCGGAATCATGGAAAAAGCTTGGTTTAAGCTTCGTCAGACAGACTACCCGCCTCAGAAATCAGAGGCGATGGGTACGGAGAAGGAAACGGCTCCGCTATGCCTGGGTCACTTCGTTCAAGACCTGAACCGTCTCGACTTCCCCATCAACCGCGACGATATCGAACCATTTCCCCCAAGCATGCCCATTTATTACACCAATTCCCTCAATTTTTCCTGGAAAGAAGATCGGGCTGTCGCGTACGGCGTTGAGCTCGGCGGAAGCGCCTCTGTCTTGGCTACTACAGGGGTACCTATCACGGCCAAAGCGGATGTCGAGACCATCTTCAGGGATTCCGTCTCCAACTACGAGCAGTACAAAAGGCTGGACACGTATATCATTCAGGTCACTACGGCATACATTGAAAAATGCTTAAAAAGGGCCACAATTACGAAGTACGTGGAAGATAATTCGCCGTTCGGACGCTGGTCTGTATATGTTATCACTGGATTGAAGATTGCGCGGGCTGGCTCAACATCAGCTTCCTCATCTCACGAAACCAAGTATGGATTTGAAGTTAAAGTTTATGTCATTCCACCTAAGTGATATCATTTGAATAAGATTGAGTAACTTTTGTGGCACCGCAGGGACTTGCCATTGATTGCTTCCGTCCAGGCCGAACCCAACGTTACTCGCAGCAAAGATACGACGATGGCGGCAGAGAAGCAGTCTGACTTCATCTGGGCTATACGAATTGCAAAAGTTCACAAGGGGATGCTAGTGAAAGACTGGTCGGTCGAAACGTATACGAAAAAGGCGACGCTCGGCATTCATAAAGATGTCCGGATGAAATACTACTCAGTCGGCCCAACCAGTCCCAAAGCGACGTCCATCGGCCCGTTCACGAACGAAGCGATGCTGATCCGACCGTCCACGAACCTAGTGAGGTTCATCGGCCGGAAGAGTGAGATGCATGTTGAGCATGTCGTATCAGCGGAGGGTGTAACGCCTACACGCGTACTAGAGGACGATTTGCATGATGAGACCTTTGTCATACTTCCAGAGCAGGGCCAGTTGTAATCGAATCACAACATAGGTTTCAACTTTTATTGGAGTGTTATTGTCACGGTTTATCGACTCAGTGGAAATAATAAAACCTTTCATGTGAGCCATCTCCGATTCCTATCTCGTAGAGTGAACGGCGGCTCTTGTTCTACGTGCGAGAACGCGTCCGAAACAAATCGCCGGATATGAGCCCTAGTTGCAGAATTTGGCAAATCAGAGGCTAGAAACCAGGAAAGGCCACTATGGTCATTGGTCACAGTTTCACAGAAATACTCGCTCCCAGTTTTTCTTGAATGCCAAGACCGGCTTGCAAATACCGGGATAAGCTCCAATGCCCGCTTGGAGCTTTCAAGTGAGCCCGTTTACTCATTCTAAAAAGTCCCGTTGATGTAATATCCCATTACTTCCCAGAATTATTCATTTGTCAAGCAATTACGGTAAACTACATTGAACGTGGTCTTGCAGACTACGAGAACTCGATAAGTATACGTGCCAGGAATGAATCCATGTTGTTAAACCAGTGATTCGCTGGTATACCTATCTCTAAACACATGACCTTGAAAGTAGTTTCCATTCTCTCAGTTGCGGAAATAATGCCAACATGTGACAAAGCGCATATGGTGAGTCGGACATTGTATTTTCCGTTTTCACCAGCCTCACATTGCAGGTCAGTCCGCGTTCTGTACAGCTAGCTGCCACTTGTTCCCATGATCTCAAAGCCTCCTTACTCAACTTGAGCTGCCATGTCGCTATAACGGTAAGAAATGGCGAGCCTCTCCAAACGTGGTATCTCAGAATAAATCCCTCACGGGCGCCTGGGGCCCAAATTTCCATTTTCTTGAGTAAGGGCATGCGCAGAGCAGCCCTGCTTGCCTGAAGAAGCAGACGATCTAGAGCTGACGGGCTGGTTACTAGGTCTCCAATACATGTCGTTAGGGCTAAATTTGTAAGGGCTGGCCAGGCTCGAAGACTATCTGATAGCTCAGTGGTATTCTCCGGTATATCCCTTGACGAATGCCGGAAGAAGTCTGTAGCATCAACAGCGTGACATAGAGTAAGAAACCGGAGCCGATAGCTTGCGTTGACCGCTGAAGATACAAGGTCGTCATTGCGCATCCGAAGAAAACGCGGGCTTCCATTAAGTTTAGACTGCGCTTCCCAAACATGTACTGAACTTATCGTGGAAATTTTGGCCGCACGGTCGAGTAGCATGATCATTGCCTCATCGCGGGGGAATTGTTCGTATTGAGCTATTGCGTGCCATGGCTCGTAGCTGACAGTCCTGAGACGGCAAAGACTACCAAGAACTTTCGCAAGTAATGCCTCCGACATACTTCTGTAGCAATATTGGTTTACGAAAAGCTTTCTGACGATGGGGACCTGAGCAAGCTTGAGAGTGCCGGAACTGGTGTTCAATAAGTTGCCGAGGAGACGCTGTTTCGACTTTGAGGAGTATATACGTCTGCGATCATGTTGACTCGCCTCGGCGCGATGGTCCCAGGGGTGGCCCGAATCACTCGGAGAGCTGGCGCTCAACCTTAATTTGACGCCACGTTTCGGCGTAGACCATGTTGAAAGAGAGATGAATAACTTTTTTAGCGCTTGACTGAAGAGCTTGTTGTTCGTTCTGATCGTGTCTCGGGTCTCTGGTTCGTCGAACTTGTTCACGTTATCGTATTCGTCAAGGCTGACGTGGAGTAATATCTCCTTGACTAGATCTCTTCGATAACCGTGAACAAAAGAGCTTAGATTATCGATGTCGGAACCAGGATACCGAAGCTTCAGGTGTTGGAAAATCCGCGTTTCGAAGAAGGCTTGCCATTCCCTTGAGACGCTTGCCCAGTCCGACAAATCGTGTCCTTTATATCCGATTTCAACTTGCTCGAGGATCATCAGTCGAATCTCTGTAGGCAAGATTGCCCAGCGAAGGTGATTGTTGACATATTCAAACGAGTATGTGATTTTCGAACGAAGCTTCATTTTCTAGCTAGGTTGCTCAAAGTGAGGCTGGGTTGTTGAGTGCTGGGATGTTGAAATTGACAAGAGGGAGCCGACGGACAAGTTTTGTTGCTGTCAAGGGCCCAGAGAGAGCTGTTTGCGGCAGGGAGTTGTACGGAGCGGAATTCAATCAGTGAACAGAAGGAAATTTCTTGGGCTCTTGCTTGAAATAGCAAATAAGGTTGCTCCCAGATCACTTAGCTGATCGATTTGGCCATCCGGGTCTTGCATCTCCCTACATCAGTTAGCTGAGATACTCAGTGTTGTCTAACTTTTGTGAACATTTGTGGCACAAAAGCATGATATCAGAACATGATGATGTACAAGGCCGGCCCAACGGTACGTGCGACAACAGGACCAAAGAATGAGCGCTATTTGTAGGAGCTGAACAAGATCCTGGGGACGTCTCTCATGCATTCATGTTATGGAACGTGTGTAAAGAATGGGATCAAGAGAATATTGAGTAGTTTGCAACTTTGCCCCTTTTCACCAGCAGAGGAACGCTATTATTCTACCGCAAACTGGCTCACAACAAGAAGATGGGCTATGGTAAGAGGAGCGATAGTCCTGATTGGCCAGTACACGGCGCTGTTATATCACGATCGTTTGCTGCGCCATGGTCGAATGATTACATAGTTTTGGTCAGTATGGCGGACGGGACACTTACCTTTGTGGCACAATGTCATCTTCTTAGTATCTTGCCGAGTCTTGCAAAAGGCTTCAGAGAATGGTGTTGGCGAGGCCATATATTCCCACCTGTCGACGTTTCAGACGAGAATGTGTTCACATGTAGCACTGATATTGACGTGTTACACGACCTTCGCGAGATGAAGCCTTTCTGTCAACTGGTTCGTTTAGACGACAGTCTTCCCTGACAAGTCTACTCGCTGGAATGCATGCAGACACCTCATGGTGAGTAAACAGGCAAAGAGACTCAACCGAAGCTATTGATGAATGGATAAATCCTATGTTAGGTTTAAACCCCTTTCACGTCCCATATTTGCCGTCTGTTTACTCTACAACATTTCCTATATTTTGACAACAGGGGACCGGAGTGTCTACCGCAGTTGTAGGTTCGTAAATCTTCTTTTTGCGGAATAGCAATATGGGCTGCTACAAATTGTATCGGTGCCAGAAATCGTTTTAATGTATTTTCTGTTTACGAACGGCAAAGAACGCGACTCTGCACTATGATGTAATTGCGACGCGTTTGCTTAAACCACAAGGAGCAATCTGTATCCGTACACTGAACAACATGCTGCTGCCGATGTTCTGGCAGATAGACTAGTGGCACCTGGCTTTCTAATTATTGGTTTTCGTTCAACCCAATGCATTGACATCTGCTTACGGAGTATGGCAAGGGGAATCAGGGGTGACTTCTGGCAGGAAAGTGGGAAAAGAGTCAAGGAGCTTGCTGATGTCAGGATTTCTGTCACCTCTAAAAGCGGGAGGGAGGGCAAGTGCCGGTACATAGGTTTCGCCCAAGGTTCAGCAGAAATGAGATGTACCTCGACCAAAGACTCCCTTCTCCCCCTCCTTCGGAACCGCCGATAGGGAACCCACCCACAGCGGCCTCAGCGGCTGCCCGCTGCATTCAGCAGAGGCAGGCATTCCCGTGGTGGACGCAAACACTGGGCAGGCACTTGCCAGCGTGAGATAGGTACGCCCAGTAAAAGACAGTGCAGAAGGAGGCGACCAGACAGCCCGAGGAAAGCACCTTTGGAGCAAACCACCCGTGCCACACCCCCCAAATCTGGGCCAGAAGACCACTCGCTGCCTGCCTGCCCTTCCCGCATCGCAATCGACGACGACGACACCCGACCGTGACTCTGCGACCGAGGGAGACCAAGCGGGAGGAAAAAAAATTCATCAATCGTCACCATCAATCGCCATCGCGAAGAATCAACCAGAGAACAATGAATGGCTATTCAATCGTCGCCAATGGCCTCCGTTACGCGCTCCACCCGGAGGACCAACACTGAAGGCCTCGTCCAGCAGCAGCTTCACCCCCATCCCCTTCACCATCCCGTCCAGGCCTTCGCCGCCGCCAACACGAACACTGTGACGCGCGCCGCTGCCACCCCCCAAAACATCTCCAGCTACCAGCACACGCTGTCCGGTCGCACCAAGCGACAGCTCGACCAGACCGATCATATCGTCGATTTTGAACACCAGAAACCCAAGCGACCACGAACGAGCATCGAAATCCTCATTCGCCCTGCTTTGTTATCGAGCAAGCCTGCTGTCGCCAACGCGACGCCCACGGCAAACGTCACCCCGACTCCGCATCCGACCACGACCACGACCGCGGCCACGAAGCCTCAGGTGGTCGCACCCCTAGCAAAACCCACGCCGAAACCCGCACCGCAACACGTCGCGACGGTGCATCCTCCGAATCCAGCCGCTGCTGCTGCGAATAAAAATGCTGCCCAGTTGACCAAGCATCAGGAAAAGGTCATTAATGGGATTAAACACGAGTTGGATCGCCTGCAACCCCGCGAGGTCGATACCCACACAAAGGAGGGGGGCCGCAAACTGCGCTCTCAAGAAGCCACCCGCTTCAAGAGCGAGCTGTCTGCGTATTTCCCCGAGTATGACGAGGTTATCGGCAATGAACCTAAAGAACAGCGTACGCCCCCAGTTCCCTTGAAGTTGTCTTCTGCTCCCAGAGACCGAGCAAACACATCCTTGTACACTTACTGACGATTTCCCCTTCAGAGCTTTTCACCTTCGATACCCCGATAGTCATTTTTGACTCGTACCCCACACGCCCTCATCCAGTCCTGTGGCACCGAAATCTAGGCGCGACGCCAGACCCCAGTGCAGGACTTGATGGCTTAGCAAACTCGACTGCTGGGCACAATGTTCCTGTGCGTGGATACGGCGATGCTCTATTTGACGAGCTTGTCGATGCCCAGCGGATAGACTTTGATTTCTTGGGCATCTCGCAAAAGCGAGAACCTGTTGAAGATCCTCTTCCTGATGCATCCTTTATATCTTCTCACAAGAGAGCGGAAAGGCTGGAAAAGTCCATTCGCAATACCGAACGGGGACGAGCTCAGCATGAGAAAGACCAGATTGCGCGCCTCCTAGATGGTCTCCAGGGTCACGACTGGCTCCGAGTCATGGGCGTGAGTGGTATAACAGAGACGCGAAAGAAGCAATTCGAGCCAGCACGGCAGCACTTTGTCAAGGGCTGCCAAGCCATCCTCGACAAGTTCCGCCAGTGGAGCTTAGAAGAGAAGCGCCGCAAGGCGGAGAAGGACCGCGCTCTCGCCGAGAAAGCTGAAGCAGAAGAGTCATCAAGCGGGGATGAGGATTCATCCGCAGACTCCGAAAGCAGTGAGGACGACGTCGAAGGGGATGACGAGACTGGCGATATCAGCGACGGTGACCCCCCAGGTTCTGATGATGATAATGATTCTGTGACCAAACAGATTCGTGAAGAGGCCACAGAAAGGTCAAGAGGATCGAAGAATAGCAAGAAACGTCCACGTACGACACCACAGCCACGGCCCCCTCCAAAGCCTGAACCCCCAAGGGAATTCAAATCCTTCTTCAAGAAGAGATACGAGCGTGAGAGCGCTTTGCACCGGCACAGGCGTGCGGGCCGTAAGGTGGTGGCATGGGGACATCCGTTACCAGAGATACCCGAGATCGACTTCGATCTCCCTGAAGAGTTGCGTGATGAGGAGACACTGAGGGTACATGCGAGGAAAAGACGTCGTGATCGCCGTGGCCGAACCTGACGAGAGGTAGTCGGCTGCAGGGTTGGGCTGTGACTGTGCGATACCTGGTGTGCCGTGGCTGCTTCTTGTCTTGCATCGGGGTAGTGCGATGTCTAGTTGTAACATTATCATATGTAGACTGTTGGGTTAGCATGGCTCAAGAATAAGCGTTCGAATTGTCCTATATTGTCGATGCTGAAATGAACAATATCACCCTCCCTTTGTGATTGTGAAATGCCTCCGTCAGCTACTTAAAGTAGTTAGCCTCAGGAAGTAGGCGCTTATGAGTCGCGCAATAAGTTGTGGTTTCCTTCCAGAAAGTGGGAAGAAATGGCGATGACATGGCGGCTCTGTTTTCAAGGACCTGGTCGGATTCGGGAAGGAGCTTGGTGGCTCAAGCAACAGGTGGAGCGGCACCTCGTGGAGTGGCCTGCTTACATAACCGAGCTCGAGGTAAACGGGAGTCGTGACCCGCCCAACGGGCAGGCACCTCAGGCGCAGGAGCCAAGGTGGCTCCGGCAGCTCCATCTCAGTCGCGGCGAACCGTGGGACGCGCTGACCTTGGAAGGCCTGAACTGCACCAGCTGCTGCCGACCTCAGATTTTGTGTTTGGTCGCAGCAGAACCTCTCTCAACCTCCTACCTCTCAGCTGGTCGTACCGTCGTATCGTTGGAGAACGGCATTGTTAATATTCTCAGCTGCCGCCGGCCCTTCGCCTATTCCATTTAATTTCCTCCGACGACCTCTAACGACCGATTTCCTACCTTTGCGACGCCGACCGCAGCGACAGGATGATCGTGGCCCTCGTTCAATCCTGCACCTGAGAATCTCGCGCCGGCGCACCTTCTTTGGATCGTATCCGCCGGACCTCAAATTCATCAAACAAACGACTGGGCGTTCGACCGAGCGACTCGAGCTTTTTGCTTGATGCCAAACTGCGACGTCATACTCTGGAGCGCAAACTGAGCCCACCATGAGCGCCATCGAGGCCACTGCGGCCGCCCCCGCCGTTGACGAGGTCATCGGCAGCGATTCCGAAGACGATCTCCCTCCTATGAAAGACGAGCCACCCTATCCGTATTTCGTCCTGAAACAAGATGTCGAGCTCGAGATCAACTTTCGGGCGAAGCGAATCGAAGGAAAATCCCACATCACGTTTGGCATGGTCGGAAATGCCCAGCTTGACGAGTTCGCCATCGATGCGCGACAGTCCGAAATCGACGTTAAGAATATTACGGTCACCGCCCTCAAGGACCAGAACCCCCTGGGGCCACCCAAAAAGGTGTCAGCGACGTACACGGATCCGTATAAGTTACTGGATTATCCGAAATACTATGACTGGAACGCCTCGCATCACGACCTTAGGAAGATCCGGATGCGACCCCTTATGCACACCCGAAGGAGCGACGTGCCTGCCGAGAATAGAGAGCTGGTAGGCTGTACGCCCGCTGATGGTGCCTTGCGAGTCAGTTTGAGGGATCTTAAGAAGACCAAGGGAGCTGCTAAGGAGGAGCCGGTACCTGGAGCGGGAATTGCCAGACGGCCGACGCTCAAGATTCGCGTTTCGAGCGTGACGCCAAATTCTGCGGAGCTCCCCGAGAGCGAACTGACTAGTTCAAGGGAGTACCGTGTCACGATACCTTTCAAGACCAAGCTCGTGCGGGATGGCGTTCAGTTTGTTGGCGTTGATGCTGGAGATCTTCGATATCCGCATGCCTATACTCGACATTCCATCGAGCCAGGCACTGCTTCTTGCATCTTCCCCTGCATCGACGACCCCGGCACGCTTCCGACGTGGACGATGGCCGTCAAATGTCCGAGGACGCTGGGCGATGCACTTTGGCAACCACTGGCTACCCAACACAGAAATGGTAATGCCAATGGCAACCGCGATCGCGGGGCAAACCAGTCCAAGGCTGACAGAGACTTCGCTCTTACCGAGGAAGACAAGCTTCTAGAGATGACAGTCGTGTGCTCTGGCATTTTGTCAGACGAGATCGTCGATCCTGAAGACGAGCAGAAGAAGATTATGACTTTCGAGATGGAGAAGCGAGTTGCCGTGCAGAAAATCGGCTTCGCGGTCGGTCCGTTCGAGCACGTCGACTTATTCTCAGATTTTCGCACGGAAGAGAACGACGAGAAACTCGGAGCTAGCGCGCTCAAGATTCACGGCTACTGCCTCCCGGGAAGAGCTGCAGAGGTCCAGAACACGTGTGCAGCGCTCGCCGCGGCTGCTGACTTCTTCACCCTCACGTTTGCTCGATATCCATTCGACAACTACAAGATGTGCTTTCTCGATGACATGGTGGAGGATACGGTAGCCCTCCAATCACTCTCCTTCGTTAGCACCCGCCTACTGTTCCCCGAGGACATCATCGACCTAGAGGTAGACGTCACAAGACAATTGGTGTACAGCCTGGCCTCGCAGTGGAGTGGGATCAACCTTTTCCCCAATACTCGCAGAGACCTTTGGGTCGTCATCGGCATCGCCTATTACATGACCGATCTTTTCCTGAAGAAACTATGCGGCAACAACGACTACAGGTTTCGGATGAAGACAATGTCAGACAAGCTGGTGACAGTTGATATCAAGCGACCATCACTGCACGAACTTGGCCATTTCCTGCACATTGGAGATTTCGAGATGGAATTCATGGCACTCAAGGCGCCCTTGGTGCTCTTCATTCTCGACAAGCGGTTGATGAAAGCACCTGCCCAGACCAACCTCACACGCATCATTTCCCGAATTCTTTACAAGGCCAACATCGGAGACAGACAGAGCGAATGGATTATCAACACAGAGTCGTTTCAGCGGGTTTGCGAAAAGAATGCCAGGAACAAACTGGAGGCGTTCTGGAACCAATGGGTTTACGGCTCGGGCTGCCCCAGGTTCGACGTTTTCCAACGTTTCAACAAAAAGCGACTCTGCGTCGAGATGACTATAAGACAAGTTCAGGACAAAGCCCTGACTGAAGCTGAGCTCCTGAAGAAATCAGAATTTCTTCGAGCCATCAAGGAAAAGGCGCATGGTGTCAAGACGGACGAAAAGGCCGGTCTTTTTACAGGCCCCATGACCATCAGAATTCACGAAGCTGATGGAACGCCTTACGAGCACATAGTGGAGATTCGCGAGGATGCTGCTAAGGCCGCTAAGTTCGAGATTCCTTACAACACCAAGTACAAGCGATTGAAGAGGAAGAGGAGAGCAACGGAAAAGCTCAGCGCACAGTCTGCTGCCGACCCTGACAATAACGAAGACGCACTCTTATATTGCCTGGGCGACGTTCTGACCAATCCCGAAGATATGAGGAAGTGGGATTTTTCCGAATGGGAGCCCGAGATCGAAAAGGCCATGGACCAAGAGTCTTACGAGTGGATTCGGATGGACGCTGACTTTGAATGGGCTTGCGAGATGAAGACAAATCTCCAGAGCTACATGTACGTGTCCCAGCTCCAGCAAGATAGGGATGTCGTGGCGCAGCAGGATTCGATGCTTTATCTCAAGAAGAGTCCGCCTCATCCACTGGTTTCGACGTTTCTTACCAGAACCCTTGTCGACCGGCGATACTTCCACGGTATTAGGACAATGGCTGCGGAGATGCTATATCACCACGCCGCGGATAAGGTCTCAATGGCTGGTATGACCCATCTACTGAAAGCCTTCACCGAGATGTTTTGCTATGCCGATACCTCCATGCCTCGGCCAAACGACTTTTCCGACAAGAAGCAGTACACCGTGCAGAGCGCACTGCCTATGGCCATTGCAAAGATTCGCGATGCCAACGGTAGATGTCCCGAAGCCGCACGACGGTTCCTTCTGAATCAGGTTCAGTTTAACAACAATGCCAATAACCCATACTCGGACCATTTCTACGTTGCCAAGCTTTTGGAGGCTCTCGCCCATAGCTTGATTCCAGAGAAGCGACGGGAGTCAGACGATGCCATGGAGGTGGACATGTCAGCCGAAGAGAGAGGTTTCCTTAAGGAGGCTATCGTCGAGATTGATCGCTTCCGTAGGATGGACGAATGGGCCAACTCTTACCAGAACATCTGGACGACCACCGCGCTCGAATGCAGACGCAAACTCATGAAAGCCGGAGTGATTCCCAAAAGTGCTGTGGCTTTTGTCCAGTACTTGCAGGATGACACGTGCGACTTGGTTCGACTCAAGGCTTTCGAGGCTCTGGTGGATCTGGGTTATTTGATGGATCTGCCTATCTTCCGCCTGATTCTTTCCGTCATGAGCACTGATCGGTCTCCATTCGTGCGGGATAAACTCGTCAAGATCTTCTGTACAGGTCTGGCTAGCCTCGCCTTTGGAGAGCAGTCGAAGGCCAAGGTGGCACCTGCTGTTCCTGATGGCGGACTCATGATTGTGGACAATACGGAAGCAGAGACGCAGAAGAGGCGAAAAGAATTTGCTCGAAAGCAGGATATCAACGTCGCACTCGAGGCTTTGAGGACAGAGATGGAAGAACAGTTTTCAGAGCAAGAAGCGGCACTGGAGCGAGCTTTCTGGAAGGCTATCAATTCTAACCTGATCGGGCGTTCCGAGAAGATCACGCTGCTGGAGCTTTGCGGCACCATTGTGGATGCTGCTGACCGATGGACGATTACTTTGAAGTATCCTAAACGATGGAGAGTTAATCGTCCTGTCCAGCGTCAACCTGGCAGAGTCAGTTTTTCATTTGGAGTTGGCTATTTCGTCGTTTATTTTGCTAACAAACGCGCAGAACATCATCAACTTCAAGGCGTTCTTCAAGACGGGCATACCGCAAAAGATCAAAGAGCCCGAACCACCGGCGCCAGCACCAGCACCGGTATCTGCACCTGCGCCTGCTCCTGTAGTTGTACCATCTCGGCCGCCCGAACCCAAACGACTCATCGTCAATATGAAGAGTGGTGTTGCCAAACCCAGCAAGCCTACGGTCTCCCTTCCACGCCCCGCTCCCACGGCCTCTCGCCCATCGCCGGTCTCTGCTGCACAGTCTCCCGTTCCAAGCGCCGCACCGTCCCCTATCCCTCGGGAGGCAGACTCCATTGTCGCGCACTCGAATGCCAAGGCATCTACCCCAAAGCCGTCATTCTCAAAGCTCCCCGGGTCAAGGCCGCCGAGTGTGAAGCCAGGTATCGTCAAGGCAGGCATCGCCAAATCTGTGGTGTCTTCGGCGTCATCGTCGTCGTCCATGCAGCAAAATGGCCGTTCTACTCCTCAACCAACACCCGAGCCCGGCAGCAGCAAATCGCAGAAGCGGCCTCGGCCCGACAAGATCCCGGGGGTTGATGAGGCATCGCCAGCTCTCAAGAAGGCGAAGCTTACTGTCCGACCTGACGGCACTGTGGTTAAGAAGCGCAGGATGTTCAAGTTCCGGCATCCCAACCTCAGGAAGATCCTGAAGAAACTTGGTGTCAAAAGCCAGATGCCCTACAGAGATCCGTCAAAGATTCGCAGACCTGGCACACCGTTGAGTGTTCGTGCTTCTCCCGCCGGATCACCAGCCCCTCCCCCATCTGAGAGCATCAATGCGAAGCCGGCTCGCAAACCTCTCCCTGGCGCACCGTCCGCGGCCAGTCCTCCTCCACCAGTTCCGGCATCCCTACCGCCGAAGCCTCCGCCGCAAGCATCACCACCTCCCGTTGAAGGTCAGCCTGCCCCAAAGAAGGTAAAGCTTGTCATCAAGAAGCCTTCCAGTTCGCTGCCCAAATAAACGGTCTTAAGCCGCTTGCTCATGGGATGAAGCCAGAGATATGAGTCGCCGGCAGGATATGCCAATGCGTCTCTTACCATGCCCTCAACTCACAAATTACCTCCTTTCTCCCATCCTCACAGTCATCTTATCATGCTTCCGAAATGGGGTTGCGTGAATTCACATTACATTTTAGGCGTTCTTCCAGGGCTTGAGACAGCGGAGGTTAGGCGGGATTATACATTATCATTACAACTAGGTTTTAGGGGAAGTGAAACGTGGCAAACCACAGCGAGGGGTTAAAAAAAAGAATAGGGGCACGAGAAAAGGATCGCGACGGGCGTCCCTAGCGTGCCGTGCTTTTTGTGTATTAGTAAAACAAGAAACACTTTCGGAAGGGAAGAGAGAGGGACGAGGAGGAGGAAATAGCCAACCTCAAAGTCGTAATGATACCTCCCTCAGTCTAGTATGCCTCTTCATTTGCCCATCGGTCCTCTTGACGTATTTATGCTTGAGACTGCATGTGTGACTGCGAACAACTTCTGAGCGGATGAACCGCTCCGCTAGGCATGGTATTTTCTTCCCGCTCGTCATACTTCCCCCGCATGCTGAAGACGACGCATGCGACACTGCAGAATGTTGCAACGTCTGCAATCATGACAGAAAACGGGCATAGTGGGGGTTGCGCCGCGAGTGGTGGGCTAGTTCCGAGATGGCCAGTTGAAGTGTAGGTATCCTAGCGACAGAGCATAAATCAGAGCCAAATGCTGACAGTTGTATATCGTCAGAATGTCGCCGTCATACTGTGATATCTAAGGGAGGATACCGAGAGTCTCCCGACGCGGAAAGCCCTGCGAAGGTTTTTTCGCAGGTGGTAAGTAGAAAGCCACCCGGCAAAACCGGTGCGTTGTCGACCAAAAGCCCACAACAAATCCACACGAGTTTGGTTCCCGTACTTTATGAATGCAAACTGGGTAAAAAGGTTTGCTGTGAAATTTGTATTTCTTGTTTGACTTAGCTGGTTGTACACGCCCCACATCCTGACTGGATCGCGCCGTCTTTGATGATATTAGAGCTAATGGGATATTCTACAAAAGGAAGACACAACCGCTCCGAAAATAACTGAAAAAAGAAACGAAGGATGGAAAGGGGAGGCAACGTGGGCGGCCCACCGATGTAAGCCGTAACCAAGTTGCTTCTGCCAAAACAGGATTTGGAGTCGCCGTCCCCTTCCTTCTTAGGTTCACGTGCGTGATAGTACTTTCACCCTTACCTCTGTCTTGCCCCAGTCCCATAAACGCCAGTCTTTTTGGTAGTTCCAAGTAGCAGGATAAGAAAGCAAAAAGCCTCGCCCTTGCGATGAAGAAAAATGAGAACCCCCATGGACCCTATTCAAGATGTGCCGCGCTCTATTGAGAAAAGGTGGTATTAGAGAGAGCTGTGCCGCGAACCGAATTAATGAGAGTGTCCATGGTCGTCGTGGCTGTGACCGTTGCCGTGGTCATGGTCGTGGCCGTCATGGCTATGGGTAGACTGGCTGCGCACACTTCCAGCAGCTGTAGACTCGGTACAACAGCCACCTGCTTCGCAGTTGTCTACGCACTGTAACAGGCAAGTCTGCTTTGGCGAGCCAGCAATGGCAGTGCCATCGTATTGAGTAATGCGCTCAGGCTCAGTAACATTGTGGTGCTCGTCATCGCCGCAAAATTCGGGTTGGATGGTGGCCGCGTGAATGCCGAAGCCGTGGAGACATCTGCGGGCCGACTTTGCAAGCTTCATGTACTTCTCGCCGTTCTCAGCGGAGATTGGGAAGTTGACATGGACGTGAAGAGAGGCAACAATCTTGGTATCGGAGAGTTGCCAGACGTGAACGTGGTGGCAGCTGATGACACCTTCCAACTTCTCAATGTCCTCGCGGATCTCTTGAAGGTCGATGTTGTCGGGGGTGGCCTGGAGAAGGACCTTGGAGGTCGCCTTCGTGAGGGGGATGGCGGACTTGAGGATAATGAGAGTAATGAACAGAGAGACAGCGGGATCGGCGTAGAAACGGCCAGGCCAATCGGTCAGCCAGATGATAAGAGCGGTGACAATCACACCAACGTTACCAAGAGCATCACCAATGACATGAAGAACCATGGCGTTCATTCCCATATCGCCGTGATCGTGGCCGTGGCCGCCAGAGGCCTTCTTGCGCTCCTTGTTGTGGTTGTGGTCGATGTGAAGGCTGGACTCGCGTCTCGAATGCTTGTGGGAGGATCGGCCACGGGAGTTCTCGATCATGTAGGAATGGTCGTTGCCCTTAGACTTGAGCAGAGGCGACTGCTCATCAGGCTCGCCATCCTCGATGACGGTCTCCTCGACCTCGCTCTCGCTCGTGGTCGATTCCTGTCCGTCACGCTGAGAACGGCTGGCGTCAATAATTTCCTGGCGGAAGCTTGAAGGATAGATGCTGATGTCTTCAATGCTAGTGAGACGCGAGTGGTTTCGCGAGCTGTTTCTTCGGTTCTGGCTCTTGGAGGTGGCCGATGTGCGGCTTTGGGCTCGGCCCGACGGGTCGGACTCCCCATCGAAGCGAATGCGACGGGGCGTCTCAGGGTTGGCACCGGCGGAGGCTCTAGCGACGATGGCTTCAGGAAGAACATCGCCAACGTTGCCACCATCGTTGTCGGTAGCGTGCGAGACGTGAGCGCGGCCTTCCTCGGCAGCGTGTTCTGCAGAGTGGGGGTGATCGTGTCCGTGGTCGTGCTCGCCGTCGCCGTGATCGTGATCGTGGCCGCCGCCGTGGGAGTGGCCATGGCCGCCGAGGACAAAGAAGCCGACGAGGTTGGAGGCAAGGCCGAATGCACCAACAACGAGAATAAGGACGGGGTTTTCGATTTCGGGAGGGTCAAAGAATCGGGTAATGGCCTCGAGAATAATAGAGACGCAGAGAGCGATGAGGAAGACGGCATTGAAGAAGGCGCCGAGAATCTCGGCTCGCAACCACTGCACACTCAAGTCAGCTCCACGTTGTCTTCAATCAGTGGGAGGGGGATGACATACACCGTAGGAGTACTTGTCGGTAGTAGCCTTTCTTGCGACGGCGACGGCCCAGAGTCCGACACAGAGAGAAATGATGTCGTTGAGCTACTTGAATTAGCGATGTGTCGCACGCGGCGCGGCAGGGTAGTATCGGGGCAAACGCACCATGTGGAAGGCATCGGCAGTCAGGGCCAGCGACTTGACGACCAAGCCAACAATCAACTCGACGAGAAAGAAGACGACATCGATGGCCAGCATGATGCTGATCCGCGTCGACTTGGACCACGCCATGATGGGCAAATGTCGTTTGGTCGCGGACGATGAAGGGAGAGGAAGAAAAGAGCTCTGTGAGCCCCGGACTGTATCAGGTTGGCCCAGTGGGCAGGTTGTGATAGAAGGTTACGTCGTTGTCGCTGTGGTCGCTTTTTGTCGCCGTTGCCCGTTGTTGGTTGAAGGTGGGCGGATCGGGGGACAAGGGGGGAGGGGGAAAAGAAGGAAGAGAGGGAAGGTGGAGGGGCGTTGCCGGAATGATATTTGAGTGCTGCTGCGCAGAAGTGGGAGGGTTAAAAAAGATTGAGTTTTTGGGGAGGGTGTAGTAGTGGAGAGTGGCAGAGTGAGGACGCGAGTTGAGTTTGGCGCTACGCTGTATCTTGACCTGACGGGGTGGGAATAATATCGATCTCGCTCTGCATTGATTAATTGCCTGCTTGCTTCCTTCCTTTGCTGCTTTGCTTGTCGGTGCTCAGTGCCCACTGCTCTAGCTACTGCTGCCACTCTCTGTCTTGTTTCTTCTTTTCCAGATGATGTACGGGATGCCGATAATTATTTGGGATGGGTTATAGTCGGAGGGGGGTTAAAGATAGAGAAAAAAGCCGGGACGCGGTCGGACGCGGCGATGGCACAATGCGCAATCCAACAGCGAACGGTTTGTAGAGGTAGTTAGGTATTGATGTATTCCTAAGTCAGGTAGGTAGGTATCATGACGGAATGGGGATTTCCTTCCTTTTTTCCACCCACTCGTTGTAGATTGTCTCTCTCTACCTCGCCTTATTAGGTAGTGTACGAAGTATCAATACGAATTTGGATGGAACCCATTTCTCTCCCCAACAGACGAATAACACGTGCTTGCTGTTGGCTGCTCGCAGCACGCAAAACCCAAACAAATGAGATGGATGCAAAGGGACCAGGGGGCGACTCCAACTGAACGGGAAGGGGAAAGACTCAAAGAGCATGGGGCAAGGGGGGGCAAATGGCATCTCAGGGCACCGTCAACTCAGACAGAAACATCAGCTCTGCCTTAGTAAGGTAAAAGGGGCATTTCCCAGGGAGGTCTAGAGATTTTAGGAGTGATGGAAGCAAAGAGAAGGGTGCTTTCCATGCTCGCGACTGCCTTAATGTAAGGTGAGGTAGACTGCACCAGGAGCATCAAACGCAAGGTACCCGAGCTGGGCGACAAGTTCTGATTCAAGGCCAGGCTAAGAAGCCCCGAGTGCATCGGAAATGCATCGGTCCTCCGCTTCAGCACCGGCCCCATCGCCGCTACCGCCACCGTAACTCAGTGACAAAAAGACCGAGCTTCGGACATGCACACGTATGCCCGTAAGCCTTACAGCCTGAGATCAGCCTGAGATTAGACGAGGGATAGGAACGATACTCCAAATCTGTGAAAGCTTGCAGAGTGAAAAGCCACGCTGCAGATTAGACCGTGATGATGCAGCACTATCAAAGCTTCTGGGTTTTTATCTAACAGTAGCAACGTCTTGTCTCTCTACACGCATTCTTGGGCGATGGGCTGACGGGGGCGGCTTGCGATCAGCCTCTCATTGGCCGAATGAGGTCAAGAACTCCCCCACCACACCTGCCCACATCGCAGCTTCTTCGTAAGGTATGATGTATCCAAGTATCCGGACGATGTAAAGGTCCTGCTAAACGGAGGCAAGTGCGAACAATACGTATCTCTTCCCTTTTGCTCCTTCTCACCAGCCAGCCAGCCACCAGTCAGCCTGTCTTACTCCAGCACTTGTCTTGCCTTCCCTTCCGAGTCCCGACAATTTTCTGCAACACCACCGCCGCCTACAGCTCTTCAGAGACGTACGTGCAAGTGCAACCGCAGCCCAGCTCGCCATTCGGTTCGGGGCACCACCGTACCGTTACGGTGGGAAATATCGGCTCGGAGCTTTTTTATCATCGGCTGGCACTTTACCACTGTTACACCCGACCATTCCCCAACACCCAGTCTACCAGTGACTCAATCCCCAGGGTCTGAGGTCAATTCGTCATGCGTTGATCACTCCTTTTCGGGAATCACTGACGCATCTTCTCAATGACCCCAGCCAGCCCCGATTTCGGCGCCATTCCCAAGAAAATCGACATCTCGCCCCCACGACTGAAGCTGTCAGTCGTTCTCGTTGCCGACCCTGTTCGCCCTGCGAGTCTCCCAAGCATCTGCTTCCCATCCCTGTCACCCCCGGCTGCGATACCCCCCATCGCGTCCGGTCGGCCAAGCCGGGCGCCGTTGTGGACTCTACCGCGTCGACTAAACCTTTTCGCGACTCTCTCTGGGGCTTAGACACTTTTGTTTTTCGTCAGCGGTGCTGTCTTTCCACGATTTGTATCGAAACGCGGAAGACCTTCTCACCTATCCTCCGAAAAAACCGCTGCTGTGAACACGAGAGCATAAAAGACCGCGGACAGCGGCATGGCTCACTGCGGTTGACAGCACTGGTTCCCTGATAGATCTCCGCTACCAACAGTCACGACCAGCACAGCGGCGTATCTAAGTACGATTGTCAATAAGATGTTCATAAGCTAGAAGGTTACGAGCGTCTCTTACGCTGCAGTTCCCGCGAAGATCTTCCCTCGTTTTGCATTCGTTGTCAGACCTACACACGAAGCAAACGCGATGGTAAAGGCACATATCATGCCCACTTTCGCTGACCAGCTAGACACGTACGAAAAGCCGACGATGGTTCCGATGAGCAGAGTTGCAGCGAGTGCAATACAGATCAGTCCGACTGCCACTGTGATTGACTTTTCGTTATAGCGACGGATTCGATGGAGCCCATCGCGGGACAGTTCATCCTTGACAGTGTCAGAATGACTTAAATGAGATGCTGGAGAACACATTACCCGTCCCGGCCAACAGGCTCGGAGCCGTTTCGAGAGAAAGTCGGCCTCTGCTGGCACTTTCAGGGAAACTAACTCCGTCTCGTCTTCCAAGAAGTGTCTTGACCTTCCACCAAGCACTGGCAATGGCTGCTCGAGCCAGTTCCTCACTCAACCTTCCCAAGTCTTCTGGCAGATGCACATACAGCATTGCAGCAAAGGCTGGGACAGAGTTCATAGAAGCCTTGCCCGATACAGGGGCCCAGTTCAACATTATCTCAGCCCACTTGGCTCAAAAATTGCGTCTTGAGCCCAAACCTCATACAGAACGACTAATCCAGTTGCCAACCGGGGGTGATGTCTTGTCTCCAGGCTGCCTAGAGGTTCCCTTCAGTTTCAGAGGGGAATAGAAAGTGACGAATCTGGCATGCTTCATTCTCCCGCACATCTCTCATGATCTGGTCCTCTCAGGCGCCTTCCTTCGTGCACCGCAGACGTTAAAGAAGTATAAAAGCAGGATCACCGCTGCTGTTCGTCAAGGTGGCAAACGGCTCGGCCTGCGCCTTGTTGGGAATGAGAGGCGGTGCCTGCATGGTCTCATTGATGAACAGCCTGTCGGCCCTTCCTGATACAGGATCAGACGTCATGGTTATGTCCAAAGCATATGCTATTTCCCGCGGCTTCAACATCGACAGGAATCTTCAGAAATTTCTTGATCTTGAGCTTGCTGATGGTTCTGAAGCCTTCACATGTGGCCTAGTCCGCGGGGTAGACTGGACATTTGCTGCATCACGACAAAGCGTGAAATGCGACTTCTACGTTCTTGAAGACTTGTGTACGAATGTTGTGCTTACCAACGACTTCTTGTTTGGATTAGACGTTTTTTCCACGGAATCAGAGTTCCTGTCCAAGCTTTCTTATAGCGAAGACTATTCAGAGCTATTGCTCATAAGCCTCAAGGGGAATTGTCCAGCTGAGTTGCCGCCGCATGAAGATCTGGCCAACATCGATCGTGAGTTCAAGTAGCCCTCCTTCGCTCATATTCTAGCACGTTGATATGATCATTTACTCACAAATCGCTCTCGTAGTGACCTCTGCGGATGCTTTTAGTCGCCAGCGAGTACTTGCAGAGCTGCATCATCGCGACGAAGTGGACAACCTAATTGATGCGCTAGACCCTGGCGACCAAGAAACTGCTAGAAGGACAGAATTTGAGAGACGCAGGGTATGGGAGGAGCTTCTACAGAGGCATCAACGACTACAGGTTGCTGCCCAATTGAATGGAAGCACGTCGCCAATGACTGCGCCAACCCAAGACGCACACACAGCGACGAGTAAACGCAGAAGGTGGGCCCTCAGGTTTCGCATACCTTCGTTGAGGGCCTCGAGGAAAGGGGGATAGGAATTGGCAGCGCAGGCTGGCTGTGTGAAAAGTCCTTTGAAACATGACGTTCTGGCGTAGCGGGCGAAGTTTGTGAACTGTATCTGTACCCTTTTAGGAGTGGCCGTCTAGCTAATGCGTTCTTGGTCATTGAGTTACTCGCCTGACTCCTTCCTTCTGTGATGACCTTGCCCCTACTATCGTTTTTCCAATGCCATACGACTTCTCAATTCCGAAGACTGTGAACTCACTCCAAACGGCATAGATCTAAACCTTCGACTTGCCCTTTCTGCAGGCAAAGTGATGAATGTTGTTCGCGGTTCGGTCTGCTCGACATCCTCCTAAGATCTACGTTCTCATCCATCCGCTTCCTGGATCCTCCAAACGCCAGTTTCCGCGGAATAAGAGCAGCTATGGTCGATATCGTAGTCTGTGTCCCGATACATACTCACGCGCGAACACGGTGGATCACGAGCCATGCCGCCCTCCCTGCCTGGTAGCGTCGCACACAATGTGGAAGTGGCGTCTCGTAACCTTCTTAAGCTTCTCGACATCTGCCGGTGCGATGCCTACTCTGGCTACCTCCTCAACGTGTATACTGGGTGTGAATATAGCTGGCCGATTTTGCAGCAGTTCAACGTAGTAAAGAACGAAGGTTCTGGTACGAAATTGTGGCACACCGCCACCATGGAACCCCTCACGTGCCCCGTCTTGCTGCACGATGGTTTCCCAAAGTGTATAGATAATGTTCAGGCAAGCCTCGCATGCAGTCCTGGCGCCATCATCAGCCATGGTCTTTATTTAGCTGCCATCTCGAAACTTTGAGAACAGCGTTCGGCCCGGAAGGTAAGGCGGACGTTGCTCCTTTGGTCGGGAAACCTACCACCTCCCAAGGAGCAGCGACAAAACTGTAAGACTCCCTTACTTATCAACCCTATGTTCATCTGCTACCGGCTCGAAGAGACCTCACTCTACCACCCGCATAACTGACATCTCGTACTGACAGTAGACCATCACTCAAAGGTCTCAAACCGCCTCTTCCAAAGCCCTCTCAGCTCTCCTCCTTTCCGTGAAAGTAACAAGCAACTGATCATACGGCGCAGACCTCCCCGCCACCGCGCGTTTCGAGCTCATAGAATGCCTCTTACACGCCAGAGAGCCACCACATCGACGGCCCTCGGGCAGCGGGACGCCGCACTGGCGTTCGACGTCAATGGAACCTAGAAGTGGGGAGCCCTTGCCATCAGCCACTGCACACGAGCAGACAAATACACTCTCATTATGCATTGTGGATGAATTAGAGTTTCAAATCCACATACTTTCTGTTGCCTGACGCCTCTCGGAAGTCTGAGGCGTCGGAGTGGAGCCCGCGTGTTCGTGGACTGGAGGGGTGGGTGGTGCTTGATCACCTGCAATCAAGACTCCGCTTGAACGAGCGGGGTTCATGGTTAGATGAGATTGGATGGGTGGACTGGTGCGGTGTTACAGTCGATCTCGACTGAGCTGAATAACGACGAGATACTGAAGATTCCGATATTAGCCTCTGCAAGATGGGGCAGTTCTATCATTGAGCCTAAGTACGTATATAGTAGCTACCCACTGTCGCAGAAACAATCCCAGAAAGTGGCGTCGAGAGGCCGAACCGAAGGACAGATTTCTTCGGGTGTCCAAGAAAACAAAGTTCTGGATGCTGCGTGAATCGAAGCTGGACGGCGGATGAGGGAGGGGCTTTGAAATTTCCGGATGAAAGATCTTCATTAATATGCAGGCAAGGTAGGATGAAGAGTGTAGTCACTTAAAGTCGGGAAAGTTTGAGGTCGCTTGATCGGCACGTGAGCTTCTGCCTGGATCGCGGCAGCTCGGGCTAGGTACCAACGGTGTGGTATCCACTTAAGTCCGACTCGGTCCCGGGAGACGTCGGCGGTGACCCACCCGAGGGGCCGACACGTCCTGACTTCAGGGAGTCTCTCCCGGCTGTGGGCTTTGCACACATAGCAATTAGGTCATGCTTTTTCAAGAGTAAGGTAGCTTCCACGAGTTGCTATACACCAGTGACCTAGGTACCTTGGGCTCTCAGGAATTGTGCCCTTCTCCTCCAGATCAACATGCATCTGCGCGTTTGGTTCAACCTCGATTACTGATCAATGGCCATGGATTGTATGCTTCAAGTATATAACATAGCCTCTCAACGAATTGATCCTTCGTTATCTAAGGGCAATAGTGAGGCTTCAATTGGTGGATCATCTATGACGAACGGCACTTGATCCTCGCCAAGACACGGCACGGCGGCCAATTTCGACTTGCCTGCCCTTCCTTTACGCTTCGAACCATCAAACTTTGAAACACCTGCCACTAAGTCACTTAGGAGAGAAGCCATGTATATCTAAACGGTCAAAGAGGACCTGCTGGTCTCGCTAGTTCCTGCATCTACGACGATTAGCGACTTGATAATAAGCCGTGAGAATCGAGGATGTGTGCCCCTGGATACTTGTCCAGCTTGAATGTACTAAAAGGAACATTAAATCGTCCGGCTGTGGAAGTATTCTTCCTATTGAAAACCCTACGAAAAATCGACTGGCATGAGCTCCATTTCCGCTCAGTCGTTTTCTATGACTGCAACTTCCTGACGCTCGCAGGTAGTCCCGAGGCGTCATCTAGCTCGAAGACTCTTTGACTACATCGAGAGCAATTAGAAAGCCAAAGAAGACTAACGACAGCTATGATAGCGTTAGCAAAGTGGTGAACTTTAACTAGCAGATTGCAAACATTGCGTGATAGTATCAGAGTAACATACAATCAAGAACCCCAACGCGAGCGTTGTTAGTTCGAACCCTCCGGCTAACGCCTTACCAGCAAACATGGCGTGCTGGAGCCTCCAGGCTCGGAACGCTCCCAGCAAAACGATACAGATCGAGAAGCTGTAGCACAAGGTAGCGAGCGGTTTACCCACGGCCGTATATCCGAAGCCTGTATCTGACGCCTGCAAGGCGAAGAGCTGCGCTACTACAGTCCCTAGGACAGCCGTAGCTAGTGATGTGCGAAGGTATCCTAGAAACGTTCGCTCGATCGCTTTGAGACAGGTAATATTTCTGTTAGCTATTGGCAATCCATTGATCATGACCAACGAATACGGAGGTACGACTGGTGAAATAGGGATAACGGGACAGCTTCCGGCCCAGAAGGCTGTCTGGTTCACGACATTACGAGACTGTAAGAGTTCGCGTAACACTGGCTGCCGTTGGTCCATCCGAAATGATCAGTGGCCCATCAAGCGCAACATCATGTATGCTATGCGACCTTGTCTGTACCCCAGGGAGAAGACACCCGTTTTAGTGTTGATGAGGGGGGATGTGACATTGTACATTTTTTTGGACATGATGATGCCTATATGCAGTTTCTGGCCACGCAAAGATTGCCATGCAGGGAACGGAGGAAGGTAGATGACCACGGCCGCGAGATAGGTATCAAGGATCAGGGTCTGCTGTCCTGGTATCGAGGAAAGAAACTTTCGGGATGAATGGGACGATCAGGAATGACAATCTCAAGGGAATTCTGGACGCATAGTAGAGAGGTGTCAGGGGTCACTAAACCGTGCAGACTGCTGCTTGACTGATCATCCGGTGCAAAAAGATCTGGAACAGTAACATCCCACCATCTTGCCGTATGACCGGGACGGAGTAGCAGAGCTATGAAGATGCGGAAGGGGTTTTCCGAACTCAATCTTGAAGTGCTCCTAATGCGAAACCGTGCGTAAAGAGCAGCTGGACACGCACAGAACGTACCTAGGTGGTCGCGGCAAGTCTCAAACTCCACTACTACGCTGACTTGTTTGCTCCAAAACCGCTTAATGACACATTCTTTGCTAGAGGACGGCGGGTTCTGGACCGATGATTCCGCACTTGAAGCCTCGGTGCTGCCCTTGTCTTTTCCAGTAACATTCAGAGCTGTCTCTAGCCGATGTTGGTTTGGTTCATCGTCATTTCGCCTCTCGTGATATCGTGTTGGCCCTTGCGATGTGATAGCGGAGATGTTCTCTGATGAGCGAGGCTCCTGTGACGGCATAGTGTATGTCTCCTGCTCGAAACGGGGCGGCGGTTTGCGTCACGTATTCGTCCTACCAGATGCTGAAAACGGCCCAGACCTTGCCAAGACCAACGGAGCAGCAACAAGAAGACTATTGAATAGATGCAGGAACACCGACTTGGCTGCGTAGGTTCAACGTTGATAAGTCTCCGGTTATATTGCAGCCTTGTTGTGTAAGTATTGTCTAGTGTCGTCGTGGGATGTGTTGGATTGCAGGCGATCGAACAAATTCAGGTACCATAAGAAGAGGCCTGTGGTGTCATAATCGACGCGAAAGATAACGAACAATTGTCAAACATCATGGAGGAATCAAGAGATGAATGTGCCCATCCTGACGCTCAACTGGCCGGCAGTTTGAGCTCGGCGATGACACCGGGCAGACGGCAGTCGGGAGCGGCAAACTCCCTCAACATATCGACTAAATGCGGCTGCCGGCGATAGGGACGAGGATTGGCGCAGACGTTGACTTGCCGACAGAGATAGGGCAAATGGTCGCCGATGAAAACGAATGATCCACTAGATAGACAGGGATGGCTAAGTGGTCGGTGGCTTGGTAGACGATTCGATGTTTGAGCCAGAATATGCTTGAACCAGGGTGTAGAAGCCAACGACCGGCACTATCTGCCGTGCGGGAACTTGCTACCATCTCGGTCTACTTGATTCCTCCGGAGAACAGGAAGTTGAAAGATGTGCCCCGCGTAGATTTCGCCGTTGTCCTTGGATGTTCTGGAAAGGTCATCGTACCTAGCGTAGAACTGAGCAAGGGAGTGAGATGGAGACAATGCAGCTCCTCCCCGCACTCCACTGTTCTCCAACTTCTAGATCTGCAACCTAGTTGCAGGAGCATCCACACAGAAATGGTTAACCAAGACGGTGGAGGCAGGCGGTTCCGCTACGGCGGGTTTGACGGTTGTTGTTTGGGTTGAGGTGACCTAAGATCTTGTGATGGAACGGGACGTACCAAGGAAGTTGAGGACGGGACGAGGCTCAGGTACGGCCGCAATAAGAAAACCTCCTACGGGTGTTCCTGCACTTTCTGCTCACGTCGGCGGTACGTCTACTCCACGGATCACATGTGCTTCCGAACCGAACTCAGGGTCGCATCTCTCCATGCAGGTGCATTTTCTCCGTGACTCCCGTGCCAAAGCCATCTATCCTCAGGTAAGGTACCCGAGCTGACGTGCCTTTCGCAACCCGCTTCATATAAAATGGCTGCGAATTAACATGGGAAAGCATGACGTATTACGGTTGGGGTCGACGAAACTGCTCGTTCGTGCAACACCGTCCTGTCGAGAATCATCGCCGCTTCCCTACCTTGGCCAAGACGAACCAAAATAGTTTACAGCACCGCCGCGGGACTCTCACTCGATATGCAACTGCAAAGTTTCCCGGAGAGACTTCCGCAACAGTCAGGCACTTTCCATTCGCATGTGAAGTCCCAATGAGAATGGAGTCTTGACAGGGTACATCGCTTTCCGTCCAGAGTCGCACCACATGAGACGAACGACGACCTTTTTGAGATGGACAGCCGATCAAGTACTGGAATGAAAGGACACTGCGCAAACTTTATGGCCTGATTCTTCGGGTCGTTGTTGTTTTACCTACTTAAGGTGAGAGGCTGCTTAACGGCGGGCCTCTGCAAGGTGCGGATGCAACGCAGTCATGCACCACACGCCAGCACTGTCCGAATAGCCCTTTGCTGGGGCCCTTGATTGAAGCCATTCCCGATCTAGCGCCAGGGTCAGTACTACACATCAGGAACAGGGCATCCCATGGCTTTAATACGGCTGGTCCAGGAACGCCATGGTTGTCGGCAAGGCACGGCTGGTCTGCATCCGACTATACTGCAGTTCTTACACCGACGCAACCCTCCCCGATTATCGAAAAGTTCGACGGGCGTCTTACGAGCCGGGATCTTCAGACCAAAAGACAAAACCATCTGGCTCGATATCCGGTTCATGGAAAGATGATTCCCCGCCTTCCCTGGGAATAACGATCCGCATCGATAGCTAGGATATCGGGAGGCAACGACAGAATCCTGGCTTCTGGTAATAGTCTACACCTTGCGAGGTATCATTGCAGCCGTCACCTTGGGATTGACTTCGTTGGACTATCCCCATCTCGCATCAACGACGAAGAGATCGTATGTTAGCGTGAATCCGTTTGACTCCGAGCCTGTCGGAACCTACCTCTCTATGAAAAGGACGAGTTACCTGATTCGGATGGGGAAGCTTCTCAAGAGTAGCCGCAAGCAACTCGGCGATCAGGGATCTGTCAGTGGAACAGCAGCGACCCAGACGCCGTCCTGTTGGGACTCGGAATCCGGACCCCACCTCCCCCAGTCTCGCCATGCAAGTTTGTCTTTCCGGCCAGCCAATCCGGCTCACTAAAGGGTAGGACGGGCCGCCGAGCCGTCGTTCGGTTCCTTCATCATGATCCCTAGCCTCAGGTCGCCCTGGATCTCGATAACTTATTGTCAGCTATTCAGGCTCACGTCCGCCCTTTCCTACTGGACGCCCCTTCCCCGAACGTTATTGCCACTGGGAAAAATTTGACGCGGACACATGCGACCTTTTATATTTCTTACCGTCAACGCGTTCAAGTCGCCGATCCTTTACGGTATGGACAAGTTCACTGGGCATTGAACTTGCCCATCATCCACAACCGATGATGGTAAGCCCCTCGTGCTTCTCCAGCGAAGCAGGGGCCGTCAGCCTAGCCCCGTGCTCCCAATCGGACTGTTGGGGTTTCGTCTAACGGGTGCACGGAATGGCCAATTGGGAACGCTGTCGGTTCCGATACTCCGTCTGCACCACGGCGGGTTTCTTTCAAGTGCCATGGGACGTTGGGTCGCAGGTTCCCCGGACAAGTGCAACGAAGGCCAGTCTGTCCGTCGTCCCTGGATTCCTTGACCACGCGGCGACAACTTCCGGCCTGCCGGGAGACTCTTTTAGCGCCCATGTGCAGCTCTATGTGAGATGGATTCGATACTGGCTGAGATCAAAAACTGCAATCTTGGGTTCCAAACGTTGCGCAGCTCCTGGTTCCTCCTTGAATCTTGCGTTCCATGCCATGGATTTGTGATTAACAACCTTGACCTGCGTATGCAACCAGGCGGAACGCAGCTCTCAGCAGCGATGCACCGAATGCTAACGAGATCGATAGCACGATGGCACTACAAGACTCGGGTGCCTGTTGATTAAGCAATGTTCTATTTGCCGGCTACCGCTTTGCCTCATTTGGCTCAACTTTCTCGCGGATGCTTCGCGATGTTGCAGGCATGGTAGCCTGGACAATGGTTCGGAAGAAACGGTCTTGAGTCCTTGACCAGGGGACCTTACCAGAACAAGGCCCCTATTCTCACACCCCTTGGGGAAGCTGACGTGAAGCAGAATAGGTATCCGTAGCGTAACCCCACTTGGTCATTTGCTTGCGGTCATTTGTCCGCTAACTTAACGCACTCCCTCATGAACTCCAACTGCTTCCCCGTCGACCTGCCTTGCGCCCACCGCTCGAACGGTCCGTTCTTACCGAAAGAGCCCATATCGCCCAGAAAAGGCAGCGAAAAGAAAGTACGGCGTTGCCTTTCACCAGCAATGCTTGCGCATGGTTTGGCATGGCACAGCAGCTCGACAGGGAATTGAAAAGCATCTGCTGGTCATAAAGTCAAGTGACTCGACTTGAAGCGCTCAAATCCTACATTGGCCTTGCTTGTTACCGGCGGCGTTGTGGTAACCCTTACTTGCAGACATTTGGACGCCAACCCGCTTGTCCTGGGTGGTGAGAAATCTCCCCATCCCGGCAGCCAATGTTGCCATGCACCACCGGGCTCTCCGTTTCCTATCGATGCTGGGCGGAGGATTGTCCACAAGCAGCTGACAAGTTGCCATTGAAGCTTCCGTTTAAAAGACGTACGTGGGAAAGTCCCCCTCCGTTTGAATGTACTAGTCCCCATACGTCTGCCCAACCTTTCGGGATCCTGCTAGGTTGTACTTCGTTTGTCACCCCTTCCGTGGCTCTCGTTATCAGTCCCGTTTCTTTACTTCCTTCTGCAACTAGACCCATATTGCCTCATCTTCATTGACCATCTTTCATTAAGACGGGTAAATGTCGGGCTCATGTGAGCTTTCGTGCTTGAGGTTTGCCTGCACTTCGGGTCTCATATAAGTCTTACATACGTCCATCACCATTTTCTATTTGGCGTATGCTCTATTCCACAGCCGCCTGTTCTACCATACCCTTCAAAGACTAGCCTCTGCTAGAGAGTGACTCCGGCAAGAAAGAATCACATAGCTATTGCGCTGGGGACGTTCATCAAGATGAGCACCGTGACAGACAGTCAAGCGGGGCGCGATGTTGAGGCACCCATCTCTTCGCCCGAAACCGAGACGAGCAACTCGACGCCGAACACGGTGTTTTCTCCGCCATACAGTCCCCCACAGAAGATCCAGCAACTTTTGAGAGACACAAGAGTTGCAGCAAGAAAGAAGTTAGATCAGCTGACCCTGGAAGAGAAGGTATGGCCAAAACAGTCATCCTTGGAACAGAGTGCTTCCATTAACAGTACATAGGTCTCGCTGCTTACCGCCGCAGATTTCTGGAGGACAAAGGCTATACCATCCAAGAGCATACCGTCAGTGAAGACATCAGATGGGCCAAACGGTGCCCGTGGTGGTATCTTTGTCGGCGGGACCAAGGTTTGTCGCACTTATCAACCATGTCCTCAACTGAGTAGCTAATTCTGGTAGGCTGCTCTTTTCCCCTGCGGAGTCTCCCTAGCGGCAACCTGGAACAAGGACCTACTCTACGAGGTTGGCCAACACCTTGCCGATGAGGCGAAAGCACGATCTGCGAACATTCTGCTGGCACCGACAGTCTGTATGCATCGGCATCCCTTGGGCGGGCGTAACTTCGAGTCTTTCTCGGAGGACCCTCTTCTGACTGGCAAATTGGCTGCCCAGTATGTTCGTGGCTTGCAG